GGTAAAGAAACACTTAGAAGCCGGAGGAAGTCGGTACAAAGTAGGGCGAGGGATGGGAGGGGATGGAGCATGGCCGGGAGCCTCCTTGGAGGTGAGCCGTTGCGGGGAGCTGGGAGCAGGAGGAAAATCATAGTAGAAGGTGGTGATAAACTTTTGTTTGCTGCTTAAAGTTTTTAAATGGAGCAGTGCCTGGCTCTGAAATCTGGATAGCTGTGCTCAAAAGCTCCCATTCCTGCACCTCCTCTTCTCTAATGATTCACAGATGCTATATCCAGATACCAGCAGACACCAGAAGGGTGGTACCATCACTCAGACTGGAAACCCAGCCCGGTGATTCCTCCAGTGAGCCCATAAACCCTTGGAGCTGTACCAGCCTTTTCCCAAAGCCTCAAGCCTTTGGCATAGAGGAAGCAAAGACGCTCGGTGCTCTGGGGAGGCACCCGGTGCCCGTCACCCTGCCTCTGGGTTCAGGAGTACGTGGCAATGGCGGGGTCCCCACCAACTGCCACCTTCCAAACTCCTTGTTCTTCTCTGCAGCATTTTCTCTGTTTTTTCACTGGTGTGTCTTTGTTTTCACCAAATTTGTTTTCATCTGTGTCCTTTCCTTCTGCTCCAGCCCAGCCCCACCATCCCCAGGTGTGGTGTTGCCTCTCAGCAGGATCTTGGCATAGGACCCAACCATTGTCCTTTCTCCATCACCTGCCAAATCAAGTTTGTCTAATTATCAACATTCATTCCTTCTTGTCCTACTTGTGCTTCTCCTGCAATCTTGCTGCTTTCTCAAGACTAAACCATTTTCTTCCATTGAAGCATCGAACTATGGGGCTACTGTGGTCATCATCCCTTCTGCAGTCATCCTGGACGTGACTGAAGTTACCTCCTTTCCTTACTCGTTTTCCTCTCTAACTTCCTTCTCCCCTTGGATCGTTATTGCTTTCCCTTCCCTTACACTCCTCCATTCTGTTCTCCTTGACTTGGTAAAGCTCCAGTTGGTGAACAGCCCAGTTTCCCATCTCTCTGCCTCCATCTTCACCTCTCAGCCCTAATGAATTATTTTTTTTTTCCTTCCTTTTCCTAATGCTCTTTTCTTTTGTTTGGCTGTATGGGACTCATCAGATCCGATTAGTGTTCTCATTCAGCAAGCTGGTGGTTGGAGGGCTGAAGGGTGAGCTGCTTTGCAGACAGTTCCTCCTTCCAAGTTGACTTTCGAGGTCAGCTGGAGAAGCCAGCACCAACTGCAGGGAAAGCTGACTCCCTTAAATCTTGGGAGATCTCACCAACGTAGTTAATGAAATCTAGAGAGACGTTTAGGTGGCATCATCTACCAACCAATGTCCACCTTGCTCGCTGGACTCCTAGTATTCCTTTATTTTAGAATCACAGAATCCCAGAATGGTTTGGGTTGGAAGGGACCTTCAAGCCCACCCAGTCCCACCCCCTGCCATGGGCAGGGACACCTCCCACCAGCCCAGGTTGCCCAAAGCCTCATCCAGCCTGGCCTTGAACCCCTCCAGGGATGGGGCATCCACAGCTTCTCTGGGCAACCTGGGCCAGTGCCTCACCACCCTCATTGTAAAAAATTTCTTCTTCATATCTGATCTAAATCAACTCTCTTTCCACTTAAAACTGTTACTCCTTGTCCTATCACTACACTCACTGATAAAGAGAGCTTCCCCATCATTTTGTAAAATTTCCTTCCCAAAATCAGGTGAAATAACTTCTTGACCCATTGATGTATTTACTGCTCTAGAACTGGTTTAAGAGGGGTGGGTTTAGACCTTTATTAAATGTCTTGGTTGTTGCCAACTTCAGGCATCCCAAAGTAGTTTCTCTGGCTTCAAAAATATTAAGTCTTAAAGAAAAAAAGTTATATTTTAAAAATAAAACAGGGATTTTTTTTCCCCCACAAAAATCATTGTGCTTTTAAAACTCATGTCTTGGTGGACATGATGTCAGAACCTGTTGAGATGGGAAGGAAAAGAAAAGGAAACACAAATCTTGGTTTATTATTACAGTCACTCAACACCAGAAACTGGGGCTGGAGTAAAAGCACCCACTGCAGCATTGTCTGATCGTATGGCTTCGACACTGCAAACTCCGTCCTTCTGCTGAGATAGCGTTGTTGATGCTGAAAACAAAACCGGTAGCAAAATAAATAGCAGGAATTCTTGGTGTTGGAAGAAGAGGGAGGGAGGAAGGGCAGAGTGCTGCCGGAGGCGTAGTAGAGCCCTGAGTAAGGTTACTCTCCTGTTGACAGCGTTTGGTCCCAGTTTGGTGTTGTGGGGTGTTAGGAGCAGTCGCCGTGTAACGTATCCCCCGTGTCTGGCTCCCTCCGGCGTGTCAGGGTGCTCCAACAGCCAGGTCAAGGAGTTGCTCTGGAGAAAGAAATCTCAAAAAAAATTGGACAATTTGAAACAAGCTGGATTTGTCCCCAGATCTGGGTCACAGGGCAGAAACCAGTACTGCCAATCCATGCCCAGAACTCCCAGCTGCAAGAAGGAGCACTTGTCTTGCCTGAGTTGAGACATCACCAGCGTAGATATCTCCATCTGAGCTGTCCCTGGGCTCCTTTGATGGTCAGCGGGGAGGAGCGGACACCGCTGGGGATGTTTCGCATGAGCACCCGCCAATGTCTGTCTTGGGAGAAGACTAAAAAACCTTGAAAAGGCTCATTTCTCTGTGTTGGGCTTCAAAGGGAGCCCAGCTGGAGGTCCCACGGTTGGTGTGATGAATCCCACCTGACTCCTGGTCCGTGCTTGTGCAGCGCCAACATTGTAGATCCCAAATCTGTGACTCAGGCTGTAGGCAGGGTGATGATAATGATCATACTCCTGCGGTTGTTTTCTTAGGGGTGACTTTGCCTCGATAGTCAGTGGTTTTTGACCAGCTCCTGGGAATTAAACTCATTAAGCTCTCCTTGTTGATGGTCTCAAGTTGAGGAGCTCCTGCTCGTCGTCGGATGCTCTCCTTGACCTGTTTACCCTCATCCCACTTTGTGACCTCTGTAAAAAACAAACCCTCATTAGTTTCCTAAATCTAGTCTTGGCGTTGGGAATTTGGGAGATTGGATTTAAATCTATAGCAACATTTCATTTCATATTCACAGCGGGGTGGTTGCTGTAAGTGGAGGAGCTGGTTCATCTGCAGCACCAAATTGAATCTGAATGTAAAATGCTTTTATTACCACCAGCCTCACAGCGGTGGCTCTCCCCAGCTCGGCTGCATCTTTTCTGTTTCGAAAGCTGCTGCGTTTCCACTTTGTGGTCAAATCCTTCCATCAAACCTACAAGTAGAGGCTGGAAACCCAACCAAATTGGTCATCTACACGGATGAGCTGTATCCAGGCTAGAAATTCCCGAATCCGTGGGGCACCAGCCGCAAAGCCACGCTTAGGACTGTCTTAGCTTTAGTCTTAAAGCCACCCATTTTACGCTGCTTTACAGTTTCTGGAAGCATTCAGGTTTTACAAATATGTCAAAAAAATTTTTGCAAATATGTTAAAAAAAATTCATCATTTCAGAGGGGGAAGAAAATTTAAGACAAAACCCTCATTCTTGCCCTGACTAAGAACCGCCGTGGCTCTCTTGGGCTCAGCGCTCGAGTCATGGTGGCTGAGGATGGGAGGAAGGGTTCGTGCTTGGGGTCCTGGTGAAAGCCTCGTGGGGTTCTGGAAATGCTCCTTGGGTTTTGAAAACCCGGACTCTGCTTATGCAAGGCTTACCCGGCAATTGTGCTTCTCAACATCTTCCTCTCAGCATCCAGAAAGACGAGATGCTCGCGGATGCATGTATAATATAGCAGCTCGCAAAATATGTTCTCCCTTGCTTTTCTTTTCTTTTCATTTTTTTTTTAAAGTCCCCAAATCACTATTTGCTGGCAGGTTTTTGGCTTTGGCTGATTTTTTTTTTTTTTTAAATTTTGCTGCATTTTTGGCTGAAAACTTTTTGGCCAATGCATTGCTATAAACTTCCATTTTCGGCCTAAAATTCCCTGGTTTGTGGCTGTTAGGTTTTGTTTGTGTGTTTGGGAGTGGTTTTTTTGGATGAAAAAGATAAAATATTGTAACGGAGAGTAATTTGAAGACAGAAGTCATTCCCTGTGAATAGGTTTGTTTAATTAATACCCCCAGTTCTGCTTGAAGCAAATTTTGATGGAAATTCTCTGACTATCGCTACTATCCAACCACGCTCCGGCTGACGAGGCAGCAGCTCTCCTCCGTGCTGTTTATATTAACATACGCAATGACTTAGATCCCTGCAAAATTGCAGAGAGCTCTGCATTATTCAAGTGTTGGAGGAGACAACAAAAAAATGATCCATGATTATAATAAACTGCCTGCTATCTCTTGTTTCTATTAATAGCTCCTTTGTAGCCCAAATGTCTTCATTGCGGTGGGGTGGTGTAGTTTGCACAGACCCTGGGAGGAGGAACTAATTGTGTTGGGCCAACCACCACCACTGATATTTGGCTTTTTTCTAGCTGGGTGAGGAGTCACAGCTCCAATGATTTTCTGATGAATGGGGAAAATGCTGGTGAACTGGGTAAAAATGGAGCTAGGGACATTTCCAGAATGACCGACCAGCATTGCAGTGGTTTCTAGCCTGTCCTTTGGCTGGAAAGGGTTTAAACCCAATCATAGAATCATAGAATCATAGAACCATGGAATCATTAAGGTTGGAAAAGACCTCAAGGATCATCAAGTCCAACCGTCAACCCAACACCACCCAATGGTTGGGTTCAACCCAGTGATTGGGTTCAACCCCTCATTTAAACCCAACGGTTGAGTTTAACCCTTCATTTAAACCCAGTTGTTGGGTTCAACCCAATGTTGAGTCAAGGTTTGAACCCAACACAGCTAAACCTTGCGGTGTGGGTTTAGTTCTCAAGGACTTCTGCACAGGGAGCTCTGCTGCTCTCTACAAGCTGTGGCACCCGCCCTGTTTCTTGTAGCTAAATGTTTCTGCTTCTCTGATGGTTTTTTGTTCTTTTTCTATTCAAAGGTGGGCCTTAATGTTCTGATTCAGAGAGCAAACAAGTTTACCCCCGCCACTCGCCTCTTGATCCAGAGGTTTGTGCCATTCCCTGCAGTCGGTAAGAAATAATCCTATTTCTCTGTATTCAAAGTGTTGGCTGTAAACCTACCAGTGGATAGAAGCCACTGGGATGAACACCTAACTCCTGCCTTCCTTCCCCTCGGGACGGGTCCCTGTGTTGGTGCAGACAGCGACACGCTAGTGCAAAGCAACATTTCAGAAGGAAAATGATGCAAAGCTGCCGGCGGGGGCAGCTCACGAAGCTTTATCAAGCTGCACTCTCAAGCGGTTTATAAAATGATTGGCGCTGACTGGTCGTCAACCATCTAAATTTGAGAGCGTTTAATTTGCAAGATCTGATTTGAATCGTGTCAAATCAAATCTTCGAATAAGTGGTAGCGTTGGGGATTATTTACAATAAAACAGCAATGAAATGTTCCTGCTCTGAATATACAGATTTCTAAGAGCCACTGATTAAAGAAAAACCAAAGCATGTAAAGAATTAAGGCTGCTGCTGACTTATTTTAGCTGCTTATCTAACCAGTGGCATTATGGTTATTTTTTACATAAGCTTGTTTCTTTATAAAAGCCCCAGGTTGTTGGCCCTTTTTAATGTTTTTTGTTTTTTAATGCCAGAAATACAGCTGCTTGCCCCTTCTGCAGAGCAGGAGGCAACAGGGATTGTAGTCTGGAGGTTGCGCTCAGTCTTGTTTCTGAGAACTTTGCTTCTATATAAGGAACCTGTGGATGTTGTTATTGTTTTCCTGGAACTTTCCTGGAATATATTTTTAGAAGGTTTCAGCTTTCTTTTGATTTTTAGAACCAGGAGAGCAGCAGACATGAGTGCAAGACCCGGGAGGCAGCTCCGAGGCTGGGTTTGAGTCAGAGGTGCACGCGGGAAGCCTTTGCCGCCGGGTTGATCTATTTTCATACCGAGATGTGAGGAGAAAGAGGTTACGCTTGTGGAGAAAGAGGTTACGCTTGTGTTGGCATTGATTGAAGACCCATAATTAAATTGTTTAACCCGTAATTAATTCTCTAGCTCTTATTTTATTTGCATACTGCCGTGCTTCGTTATGTGCCAGGACATCAGGAATCCTCCCACTAATTGCTGTTTTGTGGTTTTGAAAACTGCAAGTTGTTGGTTTGCAGACCTGGACAAAGCGTTTAATTAAGACGCATCTTCCCGTTGCTTTTGAACCTCCAGCTCCCAGCAGAAAGGCAGAATTTCACCTTTTTTATGTGAAAAGCCAGGGCATTGAGCAGTTCTTCCCTGGCCCTTCCTTGACCCCCTCTCCCACTGACCTCGACTGGGTTGTGCTGGTTGATAGCAGCTGGAAAGCTGGAGGTACGCATCGGAGCTTTCTGGTGTCTCATCCCAAGGGATCATGAGAGATGGAGACTTGGGGAACCTCAGCTACTGCCCAGGTGAAAGACAGCCAGACTCCCAGCAGGGATGTCTGTAAAGAGTCTTGGAAAGCCTTGGGAAGCCTGGGGTAGGTACTGGGAAAACTTGTCTATGGGTCTTACTGCCCTCAAAGATGCTCCACGTGTTGTGTCTGTCTTCTCTGGGTCATGGAACCATCATTCTCTGGGTCATTTGCCCAGTAAGCTAAACCATATCTGCGGAACTGCTGCCTGTAGGGCGTATTTAACATACGTGGTTCCTCCTTGAAATCCACCTTCACCATGGGACCCCAAGATGAGGGAAGGGCATGGGGATGTATCTGCAGAGTCCTCCAGACCTCACGGGGAATAACCCAGGCTGGGGCCAGTCATGGATGTACCCTGGTGCAGGCTCCAATTGCTCCCCACGTCGTGGCTGGTGGCACTGGAGATGGGTTCCAGGACGTCAGGCTGCTCCCTCAACTTCCTCCAAGGGTCATTCGTAGTAGCTGAAAATCATAGACTGTTCTAAAAATCCTCCCCAACCCCAGGGAACAGATACAATAAACCATCCTGGGTGGAAGAGCTCATGGAAATGGCCAAGGCTCTGCGTACCCAGTGGCTGGCTTGATGCAAAAGGGGTTTGTGCTTGATGTTGGCCACCCAACGCATTGTTTGGGCGGTGAAGTTGTTCTCCATGGAGGTTTTCAGTGCTGGAGAAGGGAAGGAGTGTGTAGGCACTGGGTTCTGGAGAGCCACAATTCCCGAATTTGAACAAGAGGGGGCTTGAGGCTTTCTTGGAGATGTAGATGGTGAAGGACATCAACACTCAGGGCTATTGCGGAGATCCCAGTTTGCCCACTTCTTCCCAAGCACTGGGTGTGGATAGCTGTCACGAAGGTAAAGGGTGACAGTGGTGATGGTGTGCTTTATACTGGAGATGTATGTAGCAAAAAAAAACACCAGAGAAAACCCCCCAAAACCCCAAAGGTGACATCCCAAAGCTGATATTGATAGAAAGGATCTCAGTACACAGATAGAAGCAGGGTAGTGGGTTGCTTTTGTATCTGAACCCAGTTTGCACTGTGTCACCAAGTGTTTTCACAGAGGTAGTTTCCAAATTATCACAATTTCTTTACCAATTATGAAAGTCAAATTGTCTATGTATATATTTATTTCTTTGTCATTCCCCCCTGTATTTGAGACTTCCATAAAATCCAAGTTTTCCAAAAATTAGCAGTTTTTTCTGCTTGCTCAGTATTTTCCTGAAACAGAATGGGAGCAGCTAAGACATTTGGTTGTCTCAAGCAGGCTGGAATTAGGCTTTGAATTTGGGACCTGGTCAATGAAGCTCTGATAGGATCCAGAGACTTGGAGAAGCATCTAGATGCGGTGGGAGCTTCAGGTCTGGACACCACGAGTCTCGCATGGCAAGAGCGCATCCTGGCTTGGCCAGAGCATCTCTGCTGGTGTGGTTTTATGTGTTCAGCCTTAACGGAAAGCTAGAAAAGGATGGGGCATGTGAGTGTTAGAAAAGAAAAAATAAAAGAGGGGCTCAACTTGCTTTAAATTAAAGGCTTGTTTTCTTTTTAATCTTGGATTAGGAGCTGGAGGGTTGGTAACACAGAGATTTTAATAGATGAGAAGAGTGGTCCGGCAGTTTGAATATTAAAGAGAGAGACAGAGTGTGCGTGTGTGTATGTTCCTCTTCTTCTCGAGTGTAAGGAGCATTTGTCACCACAAATCATCCTTGATTGCAGAGAGCTGCGTTCGTATAGGGCTCACCCACCCACCACCCTCAAAAAATTAGACATTTGTTATATGACATGAATTGAGATTAATTAGCGAATATTAACCCATCAAGCAGTACAGAAACACATTTTTGGAAGCAGTGGTACTTGCAGCAATAGCGAGTTTGTGTTAGTTCTGGTTGGAAAGTTTACAACAAAATGTGGTGGTGGTGGGGGGGTGCTGGAAAATGCCAGTTTCTCAAAACCAAAACTTTTTGAGGAATTAGCAGCTTTTCTTTGGAAAAATTGAAGAGGTGCTTGGACCCTGGAGAGGAGTTGCATCTGGGAAGGATGTTCCTCAACTCAAAGATGTTACTTGAGGAGCAGAATTTGGGGTCACCTCGAGAAGGCTACAAAAGCCCCAGGCTGGGCAAGGGGAGGGTCAAGAAGGGTCCCAGAATCGCCTCTGCCCCCACTGTGAATGCAGGGATGATACTGGGGAGGTGTGAGTGTTGGGAACCAGAGTCCTCCAAAGCATTGCTGGTTTGTGTCACAGTTTGGAAAAATATTGTTAAAGCAAACAAGCAGGTTTTTAACTGAGAATAAGTCCACAGAGCCATTTTTTTTTCCTGCAAAAATGTAAAATAAGGGCAAATAGTCATCAGGACCACTACTAATGGGATATCTGGCCATGGAAACAGCTCAACCTTGTCTTATTTGATTAAAAAAATTAATTCTGTTCTCTTTAAGAGCTCAGATCTAAGCTGTCCTTCATAGATCAGTGTATTTCCATCATACCTGCTAAAATCCATTCTTTAAGGAGAGTTTGTTTGCTGGCTTAGTATGGGGAGTTAAAGCCAGCTCTGGGATGTGCCATCAGAAGAGGCAGCTGTCAATCAGCGGTGCCTGGTTGGCCAAGACCAACTGGTAGCCCAGTGCAAGGACATGGTTGGCATCTAGGTCAAAATGTTGGGTGAAGAATCACTGTGGGAGTTGGGAGCATGGCCAAACACCAACGTCTGGAAATACTGGTATTTCTTTGCATCAATATGTTTCTGATTGTGGCAGGAGATCCTTTTTCAAGGTCAGGTTGGATGGGGCTCTGGGCAACCTGGTCTAGTGGAAGATGACCCTGCAGGGGGTTGGACTAGATGACCTCCATGGTCCCTTCCAACACAAACAATTCTAGCATTCTAAAAAGTAAAAGAAAATTATCTTGATTATTATTCTCCTCTTAAGAAACCCAGATTATTATTCTCCTCTTAAGAGTCTTGGTATAAGAGTGGCTTCTTGACTTGCAGAAACCTCTTGGCAGATGGCTGCAGGCGAAGCTGAAGGGCTGTCACGGCGAACAGAAGCCTGCCATGTGGTATTGACCAGGGCTGCCTCGCTAATCATCGTGCTTTTCTCATCCACAGCTAGTGCCAATATCTGCAACGTTGTCCTGATGAGGCACACAGAGCTGGAAGAAGGAATCGATGTTTTGGACAATAACGGAAATATTGTCGGGTCTTCCAGAATTGCTGCAAAACACGTACGTACCTGCAATGTTCCTGGCGATTCATGGGTGAGCTTGCGTGCAACCGGTGTTTAGGCTCAACAAATCCCACAGCCGTCGGATTCCATGGCTTGAAAGAGCTGGAAAGAGATGAGCTTCACCTGTCTTGCAGGAAGAGCAAAGCAGCAAAAACTAATGCTTGCTTTGTACCCACATGTGCGGTTCCGTAGCCCCAACACAGAGTGTGCTGGTGGCCACAGGCTCGTGTCATGTCGCAAATTTGGTGGCCAACCTTGATGGTCTGGAAAATTGACATCAGGATGATCCTGTACTAGTCTGATACGTTCCCAGCCTTAGGATTTCTTTGTGGAAACTCATAAGCAGTTCACGTTGAATGCGAAGCGAAGATAACTTACACCTTTTTCTGAATGAGGAAGACTTCAGGTTTGAGCCGAGTAGCTTTTTAACCCTTGCAGTGTCAAAACTGCATAACAACTGCCAACCAAAGCTTTGCGAGGGTCGCCAGATGTTTTTATCCTCGTCCTAACACCTGCTTTGTTTTCCCCTGTAACCTTCCCCTCTCCGCCATCTGCCTGCAATTATTCTCTTCTTTCTTAGTTTTGTCTCGTGAGCATCATCTGATTGTCTGAGGCATGTTGTTTCCAAGTGGGCTTTCAGCTGAGATGTAAAGCATGTACCGAAGCACACGCCCAGGCAGAGGAGTTAATAATATAATGCTTGGCATTTCTCTCGCTCCTTCTGTCCAAGGCTCTTAAGGCACTTCATAGACAGCAATTAATGTACAGATTTACAGTCCTCGGCAAGAAATGGGAGATCTCTAATAGCTCTCCATATTGTTGTTTAACAGGGAGCTTAAAACAATCTGTTGAAGGGCTCGGAGATACTTATTGGAGCCAGTTTTCCTCACTTGTGTGATTGGCTTCAGGACCCAGCTTCCCCCTCTCCGTCCTAATGGTCGAGGGGAAGGCAGAGAACATAGAAAATAGATATCAAAAGTGAAGATACTGCAAGTGCAGTTTAAACATCAAATTTGGGACTTGGGAGAACTTTTGTTCCGCTGCCATCTAATCCCAATGCTTCTTCCTGAATAGCTTACTGGGTTTTGGCGTGGAAAATTTGGCAGATCCTTCGTGTAGCACATCTGAGACCTTCTCCTGTTTGGAAGGATCGAGTGCTCCCAAGCCTGGCCATATGGATAAGTTTCAGCATTCCCATCCAAAATCTTTAGTACCCTCTGCCTATGGCTGCCGAAGCCCCATGCTTGGTCGTGGTGCTTGGGGCATCCTAGGTGGGTGCTGGCGAAGGGGTCGGAAGAGGGCCATGAAGACATGGTGGTGGTTGTACACCTTGGAAAAGCATCCATCATCTTCTCGAGGTCTCATCTTGGGGGGTTTATACGTATCATGCTGACAGGCTGCTCTGTTCGCCGCTTCTTGGTGAGTCTTGCCAGGGAGAAAGCACCAGGGGAGGGACAAGCGGAGCTCTGCCGTTGGGTGTCTTCTGGGAGGGGAGTCACCACCAGTGATTAAAAAGCAGAAACAAGTCTTGGAGCAGGCAGTAAGGTGCTACGTTCCTCCAGCATATCATTGAAAATGAAATCCAGTTAAAGGAGGAAGGGTTGAAGCTGCTGCTCAGCCCAGACTGAGATATTTCACCTTACAGCATCCTCCAGGCAGGCGTTTGGCCTCTCTTTTTTTCCCCCAGGGAGCACTAACATGTTCATGTAGGATTATGTTGAGATGTTGGAGCACTTTTGGTCGCATAAAGTGAAATTAAGGAAGCTCTTAGGTGTGTCTGCTTATTCCTCTGGATTTACAACCAAGCATGGGCTCCAGCCCATCGATTGTAGCAACAAAGCATGAAAATAGGTTGTGTACAAATAGCTGATGGCAAAGTTGAAAGTGTATGTTGGTACATTCCTTGACATTTGCACCAGAACAAAGGCCAGCCAAACCATTTCTGCACCCACAGGGTGATTGCTCAGCGCAGGTACATCCTGAGATTTGTTTTAAATGCTTTGTTTGTTTTTCTTTTTCAGGCACTGCTCGAAACGGCCCTGACCAGAGTGGTCCTGCCGATGCCTATACTGGTTCTACCTCCAATTATTATGTCCATACTGGAAAAGTAAGTGTTGGGCAGTACGAAGGGGGGGCTTTCCAAGGGGAAGGGAGAAAAGATCTGCAGGAGGTGTTATTCGTTGACATTTCTTAACATTGGTCCATCAAAGATTTTTTTTCTTTATTAAAATGTTCATGTCCCATCATTTTTGACCATTGTTGTAAGCTGTTATATCGATGTGGTTGTGTATCGATATGGTTATTTTAAATAATTTTAAATAATTCTAAATAATTTCAGATAATTTTCTGAGACCCCAGCAGTTTGAACAACCCTATTCTGTAGTCAGCATGAGCCAAAACTCTCAGAATTCAGTGGAAAAGCGTCTGTAACTTTTTGGTCCTTCCTTCAGCAAACATCAGAGCTGCCACATGGGGTCTTGGCTCGTGTTCAGTCACAGTCAGGACCATCAGGGCTTGCTGACTGCAAACCACATCCAGACCACCTTGGCCACTGTTGGACTTGCTCATGCCCAGTTTGAACCCACTTGAGCTTTCTTTTGATAACAACACCCTGTGGCTTGGACTTCCCCAGAAGAATATATGCTTCACATATTCTGCAAAAATTCGCTTTCCATCACTGTTTCAGCCAGAATCTCTCCTGGCAGATGTCTCCAGGGAGCATCAGCGCTCGGAGAGTTGGCAGGAAAGGGCAGGGTTATTATTTCATGTCTAATTATCTCCTAGTAGAGCTTTTAACAGCAAAAAAACCCCAAACTGCCCTCTCCCTTGGCTGTTCTCCCACCTGCCTCTCCAACACCTCTGCTTTTTCTTCTGCCCAGTGATGCTGAGCCTGTTCGGAGCTGGTGGGTGCCAGTGGTTCCCTTGGACACCCATCAGCGGCTCGTTGGGCGTGAACGATCCGTGGGGTGGGGATTCACCTTGCCAACCTTTGGAGACTGATTAGTGCATTGAAAGATGAGGGTGCTAAAGGGCTTGCTACCTGTGTCTGGACAGCCAAGCTGGAAGCATTCTTTAAACAAATCTGTTGATAATGGCTGCTCTAAAACACTCTGCTGACAAAGTAAATAGCAATTAGTAGGGTTAGGGATTGACCCATGGCTTTGATTTGCCTTGTTTACCCTTGTAGAAATAGCCCTGGGCAGTTTTCTCTCTTTAACGGAAGGGTTGGGGCTGCTTCTGTAAGTTTGGAGCCTGATTTTTAACATCTAAATTGAAAAATTTAGCAGCACCTTGGCTCTCACCAAGATCAATTCCTCCCATGGGTGTGGGGTGAAACAGGGCAACAAATTCTGGTTTGGCATATGTAAAGGAAATATTTCAGCCCTTTTTGGACAAAATATAGTGTTTTCCTCTCTTTTTCAAAGGGACTGTGGTGATTCCCTGTGGCAGGGCACAGCCTCGGTGACACTTTCTGCGAACCACCTCTTGGAGACGGCTGCTGAAGATGCACAAGGGCATGGGGTAGATTCTAGTCCCCCTAATTTTATGCAAAGTATTTGATTTTTGCTTTCTGCTCCTCCTTGACAAAAGCTCTGCAGCCTCTTTCCTGCTCCAAGACCCTGTGTCACCCAGACGGTCCCCCAGCCCATGATTTATCCCCCCAGCCCATGATCTACCCATAGGATCTGCTGGGGAGATGCTCAAGAGTCACCATGCTTTATTCTGGAGTGTCTTACTCTGGACTACCTTACTCAGGGCTTGCTCACAGTCGCATGTAAGAAGAACAGGGATTGTCACTTATTGTTGTACCCCAGCATCTTGGCAACTTCCCCGCTTCGAATTCAGATGCGTGATTCCAGCCTTTCTAGTCCCATCAAAGCCGCTTTGCCGTTGTCACTTGAGAGGACTTCTGTTTTCAGCTGTCCACATGCCAGCCACTTCAGAAACGCCACCAATTTGTGGTGTTCTTACTACAGAGCTCGCTCTCTTCGCCTTTCACACCGAGGCTTTGCACCAAAGGGGCTGCATGTGTTAGTTCCAGCTTAACACAGGCACTGGTTCCAGTCTAACCATGCCTTGGTGATGAGCTCATGCAAGAAAGATCATCCCAGAGAACAAGATATTTCATTTATATAATTTATAT